TCATTTTTATTGGTACCTTTGCTTAAAAACAAAAAGTATATATGCATACTCATGTTTATAACGGCACAGTTTGTAACAGCTAAAACTTGGAAACAGTCCAATTGCCCACCAGCTGGAGACTGGATAAAGAAGATGTGTGTTTTTTGTTTTGTTTTGTTTCAAATAAAATGGAGTATTACTCAGCCATAAAGAACAAGAAACTAGAGACATTTATAGCTAAATGGATGCACACTGAGGCCATACTCTTAAGTGAAATAAATAGGACACGTGTATAAATACTGAGTAGTTTTCTCTGGCGTGAAAAACTGAAAGTGTAAATTAGGTTCAAATTGTATAATTGATAATGTGAAACAGGAAAAAACTGCTAAAGGTGTAGGGGAAGTGGGAAGGGTAGGGGAAAGGCAAAAAGGGAAAAGAAAAAATGGAAACAAAGTCTTTGTAAATAGGGAAGGGTGGAGGGAGTGTAGGGAGGGCAGGTGTATGGGGAAAAAAAAGGACCAAGATACATCATGTAAAGGTACAAGATCCCAATGATGACTATAACTGCACTGTATACCTAAAAAGTACCAATAAACTTAATGGAAAAAAAAAAGTGTGAGCAGAACTTCCAATCTTCCTCAGTACTATGTACGAATTTTACTTCTCTGTTCCTACAGAATGTTTCTTGACCAGAACAATGCATTATAAGATCCTCAGAAGTTTTTCAAGAACCTGGTTAAGCATTGTAAAACAGTTCATCTTTATGTGATACCTATCTTCTTCGTGAGGCAAATCTTAATATCAATAACTTCCTTATATAATCTGCTTTCCAAATCCTTCTACTGGATGGCACTATTTGGGACTGTCAGTTTCTCAATAGCGTGATGAAAGCACCCAAAGTGGAGAACCTACATTATGTTTTAATTAGCCAGCATACATAAAAAGGACTATTGCATCCCTTCACCTACATTACTCCAGCAGCTCTTAGTAGATCATTTACTCATGTAAGTTGTTATCAGACTAGGTTCTTAGCAGGCTTTTCAGTTGTTTGTTTTGTGTTACTGGGGATCAAACTCAGGAGTGTTCTACCACTGAGCTACATTTCTAGCCCTTTTAATTTTTATTTTGAGATGGGTCTCACTAAGTTGCCCACTTAACCTTGTGATTCCTCCTCTCTCAGCTTCCCTCAACACTGGCATTACAGTGTTGTGGTGTGCCAAGGCAACGGACTTGGTTTCTTTTATTAGGTACTACTTCCAGTATGAGGTCTTCCTTACTTTAAACAATGTCATTCTTGCCAGGTGCGGTACGGCACACCTATAATCCCAGCACTCAGGAGGTTGAGGCAGGAGGATCGCTGGGAAGGGAGACCAACCTGGGCTACATAGTGAGTTCCAGGACAGTTTCACCTACATAGTGAGACCCTGTCTCAAAAACAAAACAAAACAAGAATGTCATTCTTGAACTCAGTGGTGCTGCACCTGCCTTGCAAGCACAAGGTCCTGAATTTGATTCCTGGGAAGAATGTCATTCTTCCTTCTCAAGGGATCCAAAGGAAATACTACTGCTTTTTCTAATTCCTTAGTGAACCATCATTCTGTCCTTATGTTAATTCTTCAAAACTAATTTCTGATGGATTTCCCCTGATTTGTATGACTACTTAGTTATTTATCATGACTATATGACTTTTAGAGTTAGAAGGGACTTCCCAAGATCATTAGTCTTGCCTAATGATCTTGCCACTCTCCTACATAAACAACAAGAACAAAAAAGGAATTCAGGCAAGTTTAGTTCTATATCCTAGGCCCTAAAGTTAGTAAATGGTTTATGTGGGAGCAGTATAGAATTCTAAATACAAATTTATAGTGTTCTATTACAGTTTTTATTTAAGCTTTTATGTTTTCATCTAAATGAAATATATCATTTGTTCTATATAAAATACAATTTTTGTTTGCAGGGGTATTCTGGCTACAACAAAAAGAGCACATATCCTATTTTCTCTACTTTTAAAATCCATTCAGGGAAAAGGGGAATCAGTAGCCTGTTCTACTCCAAATAAGCTGCTTGGCAAAATAAATATATTGAGGTGATACAGGGATTTAGGGAAGGAATATTTTGGTTATAAATCTCAAATCCTGGCCTTCAGATTACACATGTAGTTAAGATTAACGACTTCTTAAGACTTCGTAGAGAGAGAATAATTTTATCATTCTAATGATTAATGATATATACTGAATCACTGTTATCAACAATACTATATATTCTTTTTATATCATTTCTGGTTAATTTACAGTTAATATTACTTATGACCATACCTTGATATGAAATCCATTATATTATTAACAGATAACAAATATTATCTACTTTGGCACCAGAATGTAAATTTGGTCAAGAGTTAATAATACTTTTTCAATCTTAATAATTTTTGCCTGGCTTATAGTAAGCTCTCAATAATATGTTGATAAGTAAATTTTTAAAGTCTCTAAGAAGGAAAGTAACCCAAAAAGTGGAAATGCAAGAAGTTTTAAATATATTAACATTCCAAACAGTAAGCCCAAGTTACCAGGCACACTGGAAAGATTCATTTATCTATCAAAGCTAACTAAAGAAACAAATGTGTCTTCATATTACTATTAAAACATTTTTTCAACAAAGTGCTTATTCCCCTCCTGTTCTGCCCTATTCCCTGGACTTTCTGGACAGGTTACTCTTTGCTCCTTGGGCTTAATAATACTAAATCAAATTTACTATTATAGGATCATGAAAAGGACATCAGCAGACACAGATCAGGCTCTTGCAAGTCAGTATTAGTTTTTTTACTAACACTTTCATTATGATATCCTTGTACTCTTTCTATAAAATCTAAGTAAAAAGTAGTAAAATGGTATCTTATTAACTCATAGGTTGAAGATAAAAGAATTTGTTCACCTAATTCTTTTTCTCTAATGTTTTGTTTTCAGTACCAGGAACTGAACTTGGGACCTTGAGCTTGCGAGGCAGGCGGTGGCACCACTAAGCTAAATTCTTGGCTCTAATATTTTTAATATATATACTGATTTATACTGTGCTAAATTAAAAATTACTGAATTTGAATTAACTACATCAAATGCAAGAGATTAATATCCTTTCCCTATTTGTTATTTAAACAATCAAGTTAAAAGTTTTAAATGATTTTATTTAGTAAGTCAAAACAGCATTTGATGTATCAGCAATCAATTAGCTTGTATTACATAAACAACATAAAATACCAGCTTATAGTGAATCACCAAGTTCTCTCCAAATAGCTTCCCTTTAAATTCAGAAATTACTTCAAAAGCTACAACAAAACTATAGATTTAATAAAAAGAATAACTTACTGAAAAAGTCTTTAAGGGCATTTAACCAATCCATTTTGAGTAAAATGTGTTCTCTTTCAAAGTTTGTTAACACTGCGCACGATAATTCCCAGTAAGCTTCCTGGTCTGTTCTGTAACACTGAAACTTCCCACACCCAATCCATGTGACCTGGCCCACACCCAAGCAACAGAAAAAGTTTTTCTGAGGCTTTTCTCCAAAACCATTTTTCCCCTAAACTATAAAAGAACCTGTAAAAGAAGTAAATCATGATGGCCAAAAAATGTGACCTTATTATTCACTAATTTTGGAAGAAACAAAGTATATACACTTTTAGTAGTTAAAAATACATACATACATTCATCCTTTCTTTGGTTTCTTCCTCCTTAATCTTCAAATAATGTCTCTAACAGCACAATCATCACAAAACAAATCCATTAATTAAATGGACATTTAAATTACCAAAAAAGAGTACAGAAATTTTGAGGAAAAAGGCTGACCAATGCAAAAGCTGAATTTACATCATTGCACACAATAATTGTAGATGACCCTGGAATATAGGTGGTAAAAACTGTAACACTGTAATATAGTTATCAAGTTTCTTAAGAATGAAATAGAGATAAAAAGTTATCTGGGCAGTTAAATGTAATTGTGATTAGATCTATTTAAATTATCTTTAGAACACTAGAAATATGTAGCTCAAAAACATATCCTAATGCCTTAAGGAATTTTTTATATTACACTATATTTTTATCTTTTGCTGTCTTAGAAACATTAATCATGTATTCTATTGCTGATAAAAAACACTCTAGAATAACAGTATCATTGATCAAGAAATGAAAACTAATAGAAGGTCGTAAGTAAAAAATATTTCATACTATATTGTCAATTGTGCTACAGTGGTCTCTAACTTTCCAAGAAGAAATTTTCATTTTTTCTACCCCTGCACAAAGAACAATTAAGTGGCAGTATGTCTGCCTGAATATCAAAATTAATTTCTGTCCCTCCCAATTCCTTCCTGTCAGCTAAGGAGTGTTTAATTAAAGGGAAGGGAGCAGTGTTTCCTTCCTATTAGCTTAGACAAGACCAATGAAAGGTGCAACTGTCTCTGGCCCTACTGGAAGACCAGTAAAAGTTAATCACAAGCAAACAAAATTCATAGTTAGAGGAACAAAAGGGGGGGCGCAAGAAAAGAGAAAGTAGAAAAGTGATTAGCCCTGTAGATGCTAATGTACAATAATAATACTTCAAGACTTCTATCAAATAGAATAAAATGAGTTTGTTTTTCAAAGTGAAGTTCAAAATGTTAAGCCATTAGATATTAAAATTTAGTAATGTACCATGTAAAATAAATTGCCTTGATGCCCAAGGAGGCAACTCGACATCTTAACTCACTTTTCCCCTATTAAATTAGAGAGAATTTCTTCTAAGTCTAAACTGAACAGGCACTCATGATTCAAGCAGCTCCTGCTAGAAGGTGAGAGTTCTGCTCATTAGCACCATTTTATCTTTGAATTTGGGCCTAGATGTATTACCCTTCAATAGTCTCTTGGCTTAAACACCTGTATGAACCAAACTTACACTGCTTACCTGAAATTCCAGTTCTGGCCTTTTCAAGACAATTCTGTCTACACTGCCAGAACTAGGTTGCAGAATCCATTTTAAAAATATATATAAAAACAACTTACCTAAGGTATCCTTTAGGTTTTTTACAATAGATGCTTTTCGAGCACTGTTTTTCCTTTCCACATAGTTAGAAGGCACAAAACCTGTTTTATTCATGGAATTTCTCACTCGCCACCAGGACTTAGAATCATCCAGAAGCCATAATCTTTCATTCTTCTTGATGTCCAGCTCTTGTTCTTGTTGGGCCACATAATCAAATTTGGCTACTACTACCACTTCTTCTGCCATCTTTCAATAGTTTCAGCACTGTAAAAGACATAAAAAAAAGTATTTTTATATAGTTGAGTGGTAGTTTACATGCTTTTCAAAAGACATACCTAAAACTCTCAGACACTGTTAATAAATATAGGGGGAAAATACTAATTTTAAAAAGTTTTATTTCTGTATTAATATTATATAAATTAACTTCAAGGCAAAAATCTCACTAGCATTAAGCCCGTCGTATAAATGATAAAAAGTTCTCAATATAGTTAAGATCAGAACTTATATATACCAAATAACAGATATTTTTCTGAGCAATGTTTATCCTTTCTACACTGTTAGAAGGCAAAAACCTAAATAAACAGATTGGTAAGAACCACAAGGATAAGTGACAAATCCATTAAGACACAATATGATTTTTTTTTTCTTTTTTTGGAGACAAGATCTTGCTGTGTAGTTCAGGCAGATTGGCCTTGAACTCACAATGATCCTCCTGCCTCAGCCTCCCAAGTGCTGGAATTACAGGTGTTCACCACCATGCGTGGCCCAGAGGATGATTTTTAATGCATTTATCTCAATAAAAAAAGAGGCAAAAATGCTAGTAAGAACTATCACTTGTAAGTTTTATCTAACAGATATATAGAATATTAGGTCCAAACAGAAGAATAAGAATATATACAGAACATACAGAAAAACTGACCAAATGCCAAGCCATAAAGTCTCAACAACTTTCATTTAACTAGTATACTATAATCGTATTCTCTAACAATCATAACAAAGAGTTTTTAAAAATACATGTTTGCAAAATTCTAAAAATCTAATGAGTCTAAGAAATCATACAGAATTTTGAAAATAAGGGGCCGGAGATTTAGCTCAATGGTTTTTGCCACATGCCTGGCAAGCACAAGGTCCTGAGTTTGATCCCCCATACGAAAAAAAAAAAAAGAATACTTAAAATAGAAGAGAGATATAAAAAGACTAAACTTGTAAATGTAGCAAAAGTACTATGCAGAGGCAGACTTTTACTTTTAAATAATTACATCAGAAAAAAAAGAAGATCGGGCTGGGGATTTAGCTCAGTGGTTCTGCCACCTGCCTTGCAAGTGCAAAGTCCAGAGTTCAATCCCCAGTACCAAAAGAAAAAAACCCACAAAATTAATGCTACAAAAAAAGATGATGATGCTGTGTCCAATGAACAATGATGAGCAACAAAACCAGAAAAACGTATTGGTATATATGCACTTTTCTGCTTGAAATTACTTCAAAATAATTTCATCCAAGTTGAAATAATTACTAGTATATGATGTTAAAAAAAAAAAAAAGTTAACACTAACAAGCAATAAACTTTCTGAGACACTAGAAAACTAAAAGCAAATGTTTCCCAAGGATACCTGGGCAGTGACTGAGATTCTTTCCTAATGTCCCACCACCACACAGGTGATCCCTAAATTTAATGAAATTCTAGGTCCCAGTGGAAGCTACTCAGAAACTTGATAAACTGGTTTGAAAAATTTATCTACAAAAGTAAACATGTAAAACTGGCAACAAATACTTAGAAAAATAAGAACTGGTATATGGACATAACAGGTTACATTCAGCAATCAATGTTTCTTTTCCGAACAGTATCCCAACTATCTTTTCTACTAGCACCTCTATTCTATCCATGCTACATAGGGAACTGACCCTGGTTTCAAGGATAATTCTGGATTAATCAAAGCCCCACCTGCATAATGGAATTACTTACAAAACTTTTAAAATATACAGGCATGGGCCAGGGATTTAGCTCAGTGGTGCCGCTGCCTACCTCAAAAGCACAAGGTCCTGAGTTTGATCCCCAACACCAAAAACAAAGAGGCATGTGGGCCTGTACTTCAGAGGTACTACTCGGTCTAAAGAATCAATCAGGTATTAGTATTTTTAAAACCTGCCCAAATGACTCTATTAGCCAGGAATAAGAACCTATACAAGCAGATCAATGACAATCTTTCCCTTGCTAGGTTTAATCCAATTAAGGCCAAAAGGATGCAAGGAAAAGCATGTTAGAGACTTCAGGGAAAAGCTGACTAGCTCCTAAAATCACAGAGACTAAGCCGGGCATGGTGGCACATGCCTATAATCCCAGTACTCGGGAGGCTGAGGCAGGACAATCGTGGTGAGTTCGAGACCAGCCTGGGCCACATAGTGAGTTCCAGGTCAGTCTCAACCACATAGTGAGACCCTGTCTTAAACTGCCCCCCCAAAAAAACATAGAGACAGCTTCAGGATTTTGTCATAGAGAGAAATGAGGTAGGGAACTACTACGGCCCTCTTGTTATTAAGAGGAAGATGAAACTGATAAGCAAGGGAAAAGAGAACTGATAGGAAAGAGAGCTAGAGTTGTTATTAAAAAAAAACCAAAAAAACAAAAACGAAAGTCTGCCCTTTACTTTGAACATTTACTTCCTTTAGACAGTAAATTTCTTTATGGTGCAAGTCAGTTTTATTTAGATTTTCTCTTATTTTCTAAAGTTTACACTACAGGAAAAGTTATCCCATTGGATATCAAAATGCGCTGAAAATGCTGAAGTAACTTAAAATAATTGTACAAAAACAAACAGACCAAAAGAATACTGAATGAGATCCAGGAAACTCTGACACAGATGTGGTTTTAGACGTTCTTTGGCCTAATGTACAAGTTTAGGCCTTTTAAGAGTAAAGTACTATTATACTTCAAAAGTCTGAATATAGAAGACGTTCTGGGGCACATCCCCCCAAATATTTTGCTATCTCACCTGGACCTAATTCAAAAATCAAGTAATTTTTTACAATAATTTTCACTGATAAGTCTTTCTAAAGTAATCAAATTTGTTTTCACTAAATTAACTCTTTAGTACTATTTTTTTATTATTATTATATATAAGTATTAACTAGAAGCAGCCCTAGAAGAAGTCTTACATCCAAATCCTGGCAAGTAGATTCAGTCTAATTGGTAGGAATGGAAAAGTGTCAAGAACATCAAGTTATTATGCTTCATTACGCAAATGGAAGGAGTCCATCAGGCAAGTCTGTTAAGTAACTTCTATTCCATATAAAAACGCAAATATATGAGAATTTCTTATATGAGGAGTGGCATTTGAAATTACAGAAGAATACATTATTCAATAACTAATATTAGGACAGCTGGCTACATAAATGGGGAAACAAAGTCCTACCTCATTAAACATGCAAAATTTAAAAAAAAAAGAAAAAGAAACTAGACAGAGGAGTTGCGCTTCTGGGAGGACAAAATAGGTTGTCCTTTCCCTATTCCTTTAGTTAATTATAAATGACGTTCCTAAAAATTACATATAAAACACAACTCTAAAAGGTGAAGAGAAGACAACTAGAGACCTCAGAACTCAAAGAATAACACAGTGATAGAGTCCCTAGATTTTTTTTTTTTTGAGATTTGAAGGTGAAGGTCAGCAAAATAGACACACAAATGGGCACAGAACATCATGTGTGTTCCATATAATGGACCCAAAATGAGATTGTCTGGCAAAAGAGAAATCTTTTAGACAATAACTATTCTAACTCCATTCAAACACTACAGAAAAAGTTGTGTACTAACCTACACCAGCAAAGTCCAAGTGGGAAACCTACACTGCTACCACTCCAGAGGAGATTAGAGACATTCCAATTTTTCTGGTGAGTAAAGTCCAAAGTGCCCAAACCAAAGTGCCAAACCCCAAAGTGACAGAAAAGAGCTGAACATAATAGAAAATCAGCAAAGATTTGAAAGACATATTCAACAAACAGAATCTAATCAACATTTATAGAACTATCCACAAGAAAGAGTAAAATATACATGATTTCAAAGCACTCAGTGAACAAATAACACCAAGATAAACCAGAGAATTGGCCATAAACCTCAACAAATTAAAAAATATTGAAGTCATACAGTGTGTCCTCTAACCACAATGGAATCAAACTAGAAATCTGTTAACAGAAAGTCCTACAGTCTGGATGTAGTTTGTCCCTCAAAGATTAAGGTGTTGAACATTTAGTCCCCATCCAGAAGAGTCTTTGCCAAGTAGAGAACTCAAAACACAGCACAGAAAGAAAAAATAATCCAAGTAAGGCACAGTGGTACACTCTGGTAATCCTAGCACTCGAAACAGGAGGGCTGCCACAAATTAGAGGCCAGCCTGAGCTACACAGTGAGTTCAAGGCCAGCCAGAACTCCACAGTGAGACCCTTAAAAAAAATCCAATTAATAAACAGGCAAATAAACTTAAAAGACACTTCTAAAGAAAAGTGCAAGTGGCCAAGTATATAAAATAGTTTAACATCTTTAGCTATCAAGGAAATACACATCAAAATTACACTGAGATTCCACCTCACCCAAGTCATAATGGCTACAATCAAAAATTAAAAATAAAAAAAAAAAAAAAAAAAAAAAAAAAAAAAAAACAAAACTAGGAAAATGTTGGGGGAAAGGAACACTTATGCACTGTTGGTGGAATGTAAATTAGTTTGGCCACTATTAAATCAGTATGGATTTTTGTCAAAAGATTAAAACAGAGCCAGGGATTTGGCTCAATGGTTCCACCACCTGCCTCACAAGCAAAAGGACCCAAGTTCAATCCCCCGTACCCCCCAAAAAAGAATTAAAGTAGTATTATCATATGATTCAGCTATACCACTCCTTGGCATATACCTGAAAGAGTAGCAGCATACCTGCATTCCCATGTTTATCACAGCACACTTCATAATAGCCAAGTTATGCAATCAGTCTAGATGCCTGTCAATGGATGAATAAAGAAAACATAAATACTGCACATGCACAATGGAGAATTATTCAGCTACAAAGAACAAAATCACATCATTTATAGGAAAATGGATAAAATCAGAGATCATAATACCACACAAAATAAGCCACACTCAGAAATACAAGTATCTCAATTTTTCCTCACATGAGAAATTTTGGAGAAAAAAGATAAACGTGAAAATAAAAGGAAGACTACATAAGTCCCTAATTTGAGAATGAGTTCTGTCTGGGGAGAACATTTGTACACATTCATAAG